CGCCGCCGCGTGGCGGGCTGAGGGAGGGGGGGGGAGGTCCGCGCGCGCGCAGGATTATGGGAAGCGCCGCGCGCGCCGCTCGCCTCATGGCCGCTGCCGTGGGCACCGGGAGCGGCGCCGGGCCCGGCCCCAAGAGGCCGCGGCCCGAACCCCCGCTTCGTATCGGCACCCACGACGGCACCTTCCACTGCGACGAGGTGTTGGCGTGTTACCTGCTGCGCCTCCTGCCCCGCTACCGGGTACGGCCCCGGGAACCGGGGGTTGCGGCCTTCTCAGGCCTTCTTGAAGCCGGGCCGGCTCCCTCCCGGTACTCCTGACAAGGGACAGGGACCCTGCCCGTGGCCCCGAGCCCTGCTCGCCCTCCGAGTCCTTCCTCGGGGCCGCCCTTAGATGCTCAGTCACACTTCCGGGTGCCCTGTTACCCGAGAGCATCTCTCAGGGTTCCCGCTCACACCCGGGGGCTGCCCTTAGGACTCCAGTCCCACTTGGGGGTCCCTGGTCTCACCCAGGGCCCACCCGTAGGTCCCCAGTCCCTTTTTGGGGTCCTTAGTTGCTCCTGGGGACCACCCATATGTCCCCAGTCCTACTTGGGGGTCCCTGGTCTCACCCAGGGGCCCCCCTTGGGTCCCCAGTCCCTCCTTGGCATCCCTAATCACACCTAGGGGCCATCTTTCAGCTCCCCGGTCCCACTTGGGGCTCCCTGGTCCCACCCAGGGGCCACCCATAGGTTCCCAGTCCCTCCTTGGGGTCCTTAGTTTCACCCGGGGCCACATTCTGGGTCCTCAGTCCCACCATGGGGGTCCTGATCCCACCCAGGGCCTACCTTTATGTCCCTAGTCATACTTCAAGGTCCCTAGTCTCACCTGGGGGCCACCCTTTCGCTGTCCCATCTGGGGGGTCCTAGCCCTAAGTTCTCCATCCCTCCTCGGGGTCCCCGGTCTCACTAGGGGCAGCTCTTGGGGGTCCTCGGTTACTCTTGGGGACCCCCCTGGGCTCCCCAGCCTCACTCTGCTCCCCCTGGCAGGACGCAGAGGTGGTACGTACCCGGGACCCCCAACGCCTGGCCCAGTGTGATGTGGTGGTGGACGTTGGGGGCGAGTACGACCCCGAGCGACACCGTTATGACCATCACCAGAGGTGAGATGTTCCCCACGCTGGACACTGGGGTCCTCTGGATGCCGGGGGTCCCTCAGGACTGACCCCCTGGCCCCTCAGGTCCTTCACACAGTCCATGCGGAGCCTCCGGCCCGACAAGCCCTGGACCACGAAGCTGAGCAGCGCCGGGTTGGTCTACTGTCATTTCGGCTCCCAAATCCTCGCTGGGCTCCTTGGGCAGCCGGAGGACGGTCCCATCGTGACAGTGCTCTACGATAAGGTATCAGGGGAACCCGGGGTGTCTGGGTGACCCTCTGACCCTGCCAGTGCCACCCGGATTTCATTGACTTGCAGACTGATTTGGGTGGGAAGGGACCTTAAAGCCCCCCCAGTGCCACCCCCTGCCCTGGGCAGGGACACCTCCCACCAGACCATGTTGCTCCAAGCCCCCTCCAACCTGGCCTTGAACCCCTCCAGGGATGGGGCAGCCACAGCTTCTCTGGGCAACTTGGGTCAGGCTCTCACCACCCTCAGGGGGAAGAATTTCCTCACCAGATCTCACCTAAATCTCCCCATTTTCAGTGTCAAACCCTTCCTCCTCATCCCATCGCCCCCCCTCCCTGATCCAGAGTCCCTCCCCAGCTTTCCTGGAGCCCCTCTGGGGACTGGAGGGGGCTCCAAGGTCTCCCCGGAGCCTTCTCTTCTCCAGGCTGAACCCCCCGAAGTCTCTCAGCCCCTCTCCCAGCAGAGGGGCTCCAGCCCTCCCAGCATCTCCGGGGCCTCCTCTGGCCCCGCTCCAACAGCTCCGTGTCCTTCTGGTGGCCCCAGAGCTGGAGGCAGCATCTAGGAGGGTTGTCTCCCCAGAGTGGAGCAGAGGGGCAGCAGAATCCCCCCGCCTTGCCCTGCTGACCACGGGGCTGGGGATTCAGCCCAGATTGTGGGGGGCTTTTCTGGGTTCCTGTGGAGCTTCTCACCCCCCAACACCCCCGAGTCCTTCTCCTCAGGGGCTGCTCTCCATCCCTCCATCCCCAGCCTGGGCTGAAACCAAGGATTGCCCCGATCTGGATGCAAGACCCTGCACTTGTCCTTGTTGAACCCCATGGGGTTCACACAGACCCACTTCTCCAGCCTGTCCCAGTCCCTCTGGACGCCATCCTGTCCCTTGGGGGTGTCACCGCTCCATGCAGCTTGATGTCATCCCCAAACTTGCTGAGGGTGCCCTGGGTCCCACTGTCCCATGTCATTGATGAAGACATTGAATAGTTCTGGTCCCAACCCTGAGGGATGCCACTTGTCACCACTCTCCATCCAGACATGGAGCCGTTGGCCACCACCCTCTGGATGTGACCACCCAACCAGTTCCTCATCCAGTCGACCCATCAAATCCATCTCTCTTCAGCTGGGAGAGCAGGATGTTGAGGGGGGGACCATGCTGGGGGCCTTCGAGAGGTCCAGACCGATGACACCCATAGCTCTTTCCATGTCCTCTGATGTCACCCCATCACAGAAGGCCACCAGGTTGCTCAGCCCTTTCCCCAGGCCTTCTCCTTGCTGGGGGTCACCCCATAAAAGAGCCCTCCGGTGAGGGGGCACCCCATCAAGGAGGAGAACCAGTTTGTTCCAGTTAACGGGAGAGCGGTTGGGCTCTAGGTTGGGCTGACCCCTGCCGTGTGTGTGTGTGTGTGTGTGTCCGTGTCCCCCTCCCAATTCTGCCCCCAGCTCTACGAGAACTTTGTGGAGGAGATCGATGCCATCGACAACGGCATCGCGCAGGCGGAGGGGGAGCCCCGCTACGCCCTCACCACCACCCTCAGCGCCCGCGTGGGCCACCTCAACCCCCGCTGGAACGACCCCGACCAGGACACCGAGGTGGGCACAGGGAACGGGGCTCTCCCCCCCACCTCTCCCCACCTTTTGGGACACCCCTGGAACCCTCCTTGTTGCCCCCAGGCGGGGTTCAAGCGGGCGATGGAGCTGGTCGGGGGCGAGTTCATGGACCGCCTGGACTACTACCACCGTGCCTGGTTGCCCGCGCGGGCGCTGGTGGAGGAGGCCATCCAGCGGCGCTTTGAGGTACCCTAAGCCCCCCACTCTGTCGGTTCTGGGGGGGGCTGAAGGTTTGGGGAGGGCAGGTCCCCTTGGTATAAACCCCACCTTGTACCCCACAGCCCTACGCAGGGCCATGCACCCCCTCCTGCACCCCAATATCCTTCTATATGGCTGTGCCCACCCCTCCTGTGCCCCTATATCCTTCTATATGGCTGTGTGCCCCCCTCCTGCGCCCCAATATCCTTATATACAGCTGTGCCCCCCCCTCCTGTGCCCCTATATCCTTACATACAGCCGTGCACCCCCATATCCCCCCCATCACCGTGCACCCCCAGAGCTTCCTGGCAGCAGATCCCATGGATGAAGGGAGGGAAACTGAGGCAGGTGGTGGAGGGGGTGTGTGGGGGGGGGCTTGGGGGGCTGCGCACGGTGGGCCCCCCCCAACCCACCAACCGGTCC